AAATGAGGGGTTGGATAGTTCTGAACTGTAAGTAGCCATCTGTCTCCCTTTCTTCACCTCTCTTCATGTCGTTAGCTGTTAACCCTTTAGGGTCACTTTGCCCATCTTTTTTTTTCTACATGATGAAGTGATACTTTATGTCATAATCTAAAATTGAAACACAGAGAAATAGGAACTTAATTGTGTCTAAGATAAAGAAATTTCACAAAGAAAGTGATTATTCAGCTTGGGCTATGCAGGATGAGTAGAAGTTTTTTTAGCAGAGGAATCAGGGAAGGGCATCCCAAGACAGGAGAATATATTTATGAAGGCACAAAATTATGAATGAGTATATTTGAAATGTTTTTTTGGAAGCTTCTTCAACATCTGTACAAGATTAATCATTTCTGATTTCATTTTAGTAGTCTAGTTTATATTTTTCATTAAATATCTATTATATATTTTTTCAATTTTTCATTTAAATTCATCAGTTTACATACAGTGCAATATTGGTTTCAGGAGTAGAATTCAGTGGTTCACCACTTACATACAACACCCAGAGCTCATCATAACAAGTGCCCTCCTTAGTACCCATCACCCATCTGACCCATACCCCACCTCCCCCCTTCCATCAACCCTCAGTTTGTTCTCTATAATTAAGAGTCTCTTTCGGTTTGTTTCCCTCTCCCTTTTTACTATATTTTATTTTAATCATGTGTATATCTACCTCCCATGTTTAGCTATGAGCTTCTTAAGAATATGACTTAGGGATATTTATAATTCCAGTGCTCAGCATAGTAATTACTCAATACATATATGTTTAAATGAACAACACAATAAATAAATAATGTAAAGAAGTACCTTTAGGGGGTGACAAGGAAAGTTTAGCTAGAAAAGAGTGTGTATGAGAGAGAGAGATGTATATGTTACTGGGTGAATGTATGGCTTTGAGGAGACTAAAGAGGTGGGTTGGATCTGATCGTTAATTCTACAGATACTTCACCAAGTTATTAAAACTTAACCTATAAGCAATAAACAATTGTTGGAGGTCCTAACAGAAGCATAGTAATATTGGGGCACCAGGGTGGTTCAGTCAGTTAAGTGTCTGACCTGTTCAGGTCATGATCTCACGGTCTGTGAGTTTGAGCCCTGCATCAGGCTGTGGGCACAGCTGACACTTTGGACCCTCCGTCCCTTCTTTCCTCTTTTCTTTTGCCTTCTCTCACTCAAAAATAAACATTATTATTTTTTTTTTTTAAAAAAAGCAGGGTAGTATTGTGTGGTTTGCATTTTGGAAAGATGCTAGTTTAGAAGTGAAATAATTATGACCATAACATTTCTAGCACCTTGGTCCACGTTCCCTCACCCCACTCCAGAGGCCACCTTCAGATAGTGCCCCTAGGTTTTGTGGACTCCCCGTGCCTTCTCCCTGGGAATAGTCTCTGGCCAAGGAACTTTATTCAGTCAACATACATGGGGCGGACCAGACACGTGCGATAATTAATCCACCAACAAAAGTGGGGTGGGAATTGGTATAAAAATACTCCAGATTCCTTTGCAACTCAGTAGGACAATTCGGAGGTTGCTAAACACCATTTTTCAGAGGATCCCTTGTGCTATTGAGCCACAGTTCCTCACAGTGGTAACCCATTCATTGACACTTGCTTGATTGACTGTCCTCTCCCTGTGTCACTTTCCCTCTCTTTTATCATGTTTTCTGGAATCATCTTCCAGATAAATTGTTTATCTTCAAACCTTTGTCTCAGGGTCTGCTATTGGGAAAATCCCAACTAAATAAAATTTTTCATTTTCTCTTTTCCCCGATAGAGGGAAATCATAAAGGGAGGCTGGTGATGGTATCTTTGTGTCATATCTATATGTACTGAGAGGTATAAAGAACCCACCAAACATTGTGGCGGTTTAAAAGAAAAGCATTCTTATATTCTGGAAATTCACGTTTAAGTTATAAGTAAAAAACAACAACAGAGAATAAATGTTGATATATTCATACAATGGAATTCTGCACCTTGGCGGTAATGAATTAACTTCCCATGCAAAGACATTAATGTCAAAAGAGTGACATTTAAACGAAAAATAGCAAATTTCAGTAGAATTAAGTTAATATAAAGTTCAAATATTGCCATAAGCTGCTGAGAGACACAAATATAGGGGTGAAACCTAAAGAAAAACAAAGGAATAATAACCACAAAACTCAAGAGAGTGATGACTTCTAGAGGGAGTGAGGGTAAGGAATCAGACTGGGGTCTACTGAGAACATTCAAGGCACTGACACTGCTCTCTGCCTTAAACTAGGTAGTAGGACCCAGGTGTTCATTGTATCAGAGTTCCTTATACTTTACATATTTTTAATTATTTTCTAAATGCTTACTATTTAATAAAAACATGTTAAAAATAGTTCCAATGAGATGATGATGTCTTTTTGATGTTGTCATTGATGATGATGTCATTTGATGTCACTAGGTTATTTCTCACCAATTTAGAAGTCCAATAACCACAGGCACTAATGTTCTTCTTACCCCAGATGAACTAGCAAAACATAAATACTCTTTTAGCTTGAATAATTATTTTTGTAAAGGTAAAGCTAGTGTTTTTGACATACCAAAAATTGCAAGTCAAGTATTGAAAGCATTAATTTCTGACTTTTTTTTAATTTCAATCAATTTGATTGACAACAAATCAGCAGGGTCCCAGGGAGAGCAAGGAACACACAGAACAGGACTACTCCTGTGAACATGCCCTTGAACACCTGTCTTCACATCCCCCCAATGCTGGGTAAGAGCCATCAGCTCAGCTCCACAGTTAATGTCCATACCATACGTGTCCGCTTGTGATGCCCACATCGTAGTTTCTCTCGCCAGGAACTGTAGGTAAAACAAAATACGTAAGTGAAATTCACGATGGGCATCGGTTATATGTAAAACAAATTTAGAAAGGAGCCGAAAGTGACTGGAGACTATAATGGTGTGTTGCAAAAAGGGTTGGGATGAACAGGGACACCTTTCAAGAATCTAGAATCCACCTGGAGTCAGGTCTTGGGTGCCACTCCTGGCCCATGCTTGGGTCCAGTGTTTCACATGACCTTGCTGCGGCAGCCCACTCTGCTCAAAACATTCTCTGGACCTCTGCTTTAAAATTCTTGTTCTTCTCTGGCCTCGCTGCTCTTGGATCTTGATTCTCTGTCTTTGCCTCTGTGGATTAAATATTTTGCTAAGTGGCCTACCTGATTTGGGGTTTCTCAAATTGATATTTTTTCTCAAGTTCTCCTTACATTGTCCCTTTAATCATAGAATACAGAAAAGTCTCATTCCACCATCAAACCTACCCTGGGCCTCCACACCCCAGGCTGGGCCCTGCTTAGGTGGAAAGATGTTAGACATTACCTAGAGACACAAGAGCTGCCAGCATTATCAGGGGATGTTCTAATTAGTTGCAAATCTGTTTATTTTCTCTGGTGGACTCTGACTTCTTTCAGGTAGAATCGTGTCTTGTTCAGCTCTGCATTCCCCACCCCTGGCACAGAGTTAGTCCTCGAATGACATCTGAATGAGTGAAAACGAAACGGCATTGTGTCTCATCTTTTATTCTTACAAATTATTCTACTTTGATGATCTGAGCAGCTACAACCAGGAAACTGAGGAAAGGGAAGAGATCTTCAAATGGACTCAGAGAGGCTTGAAAAGGCTTTGGGATACACTAGATTTGAAATTACTTCAGATGTATTTCCGCCTTCCCTTTTAAGCTCTTGTTTGCTGAGAAACAAGGGAGAAAACAGCACTGAGAGGGATTTTAGGAGCCTACGAGAAGAGAGTAGGCAAGAGTTTACTCTGCCACGGGAGCTTGTACTGGCTCAGCCACAGGTAGAGGGCACACAGACCCAGTGGCACTGGTCTGGTCTGGCAAGTTCCGTGGCTGTTCTCTGATTCTGAGAAGTACAGATGGGAGAAGAGAACTGGTCTCTGCCTCTGTCCCTCCTCTTCCATTGCCCTCCGCCCAGTGGTCTTCTCTCTCTACATCACCGTTAGAATAAACATCATAGCAACTGTATTCCCCACGTGGAATCCTGTTCTCATTGCATCCAGTCATACAAACAATAGTCTACCATATTGAAATAGCGCATTTTTCATTCTTAGCATATTTCAGCCACCAAATGAAGAATTGTAGGACTGGGGACCAAAGTCCAAACTTTTCGGTAAACAGAAAAGCCAAAGTCACCACACAATGACAGCGTGGACCCAGCATGGCCCCCTGGTGGTGGTGAGCAATACAAAGCCAAGTTCAAAGGGAATCACAGCCCAGTCACCCCTCCATGGATTCCCCGTCTGTCTTTTCCAAATCCTCATGCCATCAAAATGCTGCTCCGGGTCTAAGCCTGACAGATAGGGTTTGTAGGGGACGGTACACCAGTAAGTACCTCTGCTTTGCACAGAGACCTGCCTCAGTCCCCAGCTGGAAGACTTTCTCTTTGCACAACATGTTTATGTTTTCTTACGGTGTTACTTGAAGCCTTGGGCATGCACCCCTCCCATTTTGTTTCAACAACTCCTAGACCAATAAAGCGAGGGCTTAACCAATGTGGCATTTGAGGAGACAATTACCGCAGCCAGGAGGAAGAAGTGCCAGGGTGAGGGGGAAAGAAGAGGAGGAGGGAGTGTAGGAGGAGGCAGAAGATAAATATTGGGAAGCAGAAGGTCCAGGTTGTTCGGCCTCCTGGGGAGAGCTGCCTCCTTCCTTCATCAGCAGTATGAACTCCTCAAGACAGTAAAAGTCCCAGGGTCAGGAAACCAGCCCTAGAGTCTTCATTCTGCCATTCAGTCTTTATGGGTCCTTCGAGAAGCCACTTTAAGGCCTCAGAATCTTAGTCCCCACACTGTAAAATGGAGACAATCCATTTTATATAAATGGTCATTTATATAAATGGCAATGCCTGTCCTTTCAGATCCAAAAATATGTATGACAACGACATAAAATTGTTATATATGCTACAAAGTTCAGCTGAAGCCTTAACTAGTGTTCTCTCTGTACAATTGGTCAGCAAGGAAGCCCAAGTGATGTAGCACCTTCCCCAGAGAGGACTTTACTTCCTTGTTCCTGAGGCTGTAAATCAAGGGATTCAGCATGGGGGTGACCAGGTTATTCAGGATCTGAACAGTTGCATCCAGCCAGGAGCTTGGGGTGGGCCTGAGGTAGATGAGGACCACCGGCATGTAGAAAAGCAGGATGGCGGTGAGGTGGGCACTGCAGGTGGAGAAGGCACGGCGTCTGCCTTCAGTAGAGCGGATCTGCAGGATGGAGCAGACAATGCGGCTGTAGGAGGTGAGGATGAGAAGGAAGCAGCTGAGGGGCATGAGGCCCACGCTGACGAACCCCACC